TCATATTCTGATTTCAACCCTACTAAGAACCTAGTGACATCTAGTTGTTCCCTTTGTTGTTGTTGAACCTTAACATCTGGAGTGAGGGGATGATAGACATTGAGTTCATTTCTGAGGTTCTTCATACTGGCATAGTACTCTTCTAGGGTTTTATTCCCTTGCTGCAAACCGAAATACTCCTGATAGAGCTGATATACCCTTGTAATATTATCCTGCCCGGAATAAAGCTTCTTGGCATGTTCCCATATGTCCTTAATTGTATCTAAGAACATAAAGTTGGCACTTATTTTGGGTTTCATGACCATGTCATGATTTGGGCATCTTCCTGTTCCCAATCATCAAACCCTGGAGAATCAGCTGATGGTTTATCTTCCTTCACGTGTTTCACTTTCCTCTTTGCCTTGAGGAAAATTTCCACTGACTTGGCCCATGGCACATAATTCTCACCATTAAGTTTAATGGAGGTCACCTGCACACCCAAATAATCGGAGGGGATCATCACACTCGGTTTCTGATCACTAGAACCACCTCCCGATGCTGCCATTATGTCTCCCCCACTGCTATCTCTAATGTTGAACTCTCAGTCACCAACCAAATACTACAGCAGCCAAGGCAACGCTACAGCAGTCTCTAAACTCAGGTGATAGGTTCACAACAAGTCACAATCAATCACAATCAGTCACCATTGTGCACAAACTACCATTCAGATTAAGAACAAAAGGTAAACCATCATTCAGACAACACCAACAAGGCAGAAAATTGATGTAGGCAATTCGACCATTCCTTCCAGCCCAAAAAAAAAAACAACTTTTGTTCTTTCACACACACAACCATCTCTGTCCCACATGGTACAGGTTTGTCTTACCATTTTTTTTTAAAGGTCACTACCAATCCAAAGACATCAACTACAACCACTACAGTAACCCTTACACCATTCGGTCACTGTAAACACAGCCTGTTCTTGGGCCTTTTGCCAAGAACCAAGGCTACAAATAACCTAGTTCTTTAAGTTCTGATCAGTCCGAACAGATCTTTGAGGGTTTTCCAACCCAGAAACACCAACAACACAAAAAAAAGGATAACCAACCTTGATGGAGACCTTCAGTCGACCATCCACTTATTTCTGGAGTTATTTTCTTGAAAGGCAATCAAGTTCTGAGCAGAGAAAGAGAGGCCGAAGTGTTCTCAGACCTAGGTCGAGTTTGTGTTCTCCATTTGCAGTCCATAGAGAAGAAAAAGAAGTCATGAACAGAAAGGAGCAGCTGTCACGAGCAGAGATTTAAAGAGCAACGTCCTGCTCTAATACCATGTTATCTTAGTGGCTTCAGCAGTTCGAACCAGAGGAAGAAGAAGAAGAAGAAAAGGAACAGCCGAATCTGATAGCTTAAACCCTATCAATTGACCCTAATATGAATTAGCCTCTAATTAGTTGTACAAAGATTAAACTGCCCCCCCCACTTAAGTATGGGACAGGAAGTCTCTATTAAAACTACCACATAAGCACATAACTTAACAGAAATAAAATGACTAATCTACCCTTATTCGGCTAGCTTTAACATGGATTAAGCACCATAAAAAACAAATGGAAAAGCTTTTGTAATAATGACATACAATCCTTACTCTGCATTGTAAGTTTGTAATTTTTTCTAGCAAAAGTTTTATACAAAATCCAATCCACTGATTTAAAACTCCAAGGAGGACAACCTCCGCTGTCCACCCAAGGAGGATGCCACCACAACCCTTTTCCTTGTTCTTCTTCTCTTTTTCCCCCAAAGAATGAGGGCATAAACAAGCAATTTTGTGAGAGAAAGGACAAATCTTGTGGTCATGTTGGGATTAACACTTAATTGAGAAGGCATTACTGGCATCCAGGAGTTTTGCACTTCAACTCCTCTTTCCCCAAAGCTTACATCTCAGTAGCATATTATAAGAGAGAAAAAGGCCTGCTTAGACTATTCAGTTTATCAATGGAATAGCATGGTATCATTCTTGTAGAATGTTGGAATGAGGTATATGACTAGACATAAAACTACAGGAAAAAGGTAATTAACATACCGGCCGGCAATCAAGAATGGACATAAGAGATGAATGATCATTAATGGCCCGCTCAATTCGTGCATCACTATCAGCAGCTTGCTTAAGGTTTGCAGCAAACCTGTTCAACCTATCTTGCAAGTTCTTGGTTATAGTACTAGACTGAGGTCTAGTCCATCGAGTCCCATATTGGCTTCGAAACTGAGCATCCTCTCTTGCTTCTTGCTGTAAGAGTTCTTCAGTCTGGGCCAGTAATTCTTGGTTCACCCTTCTCAAATCCCTAAGTTGCTGCAACTCAGCTTCCAAGCCAGATGGGCCCCCACTGATCTGCACTACTTCCACATCTTCTTTAAGATCCATTGGTAGTGTATAGTTTCCTTCTAGTGCAAGAATTGAATCTGGTAAGTCCATTTCCTTCAGCTTCACACGGGTTATCTCACTCCCTTGCTGCAATTTCTCAGCTTGAGTCCTGATGATATCATCAACCATTTCGGTATATCTAGAAAGAGCCTTTGCACTGTTATCAGGAACAAGACTTGCAAACATCTTCTCTTTGCTTGCATCCAAGATATCATTCATTGGTGTGGACTTGACTAGTGAAGCCGCTGGAAGAGGTAGCAGAGTATTTGCCGCAGGGACTCTCATAAGATAAACTCTATCGTTCTCCTTCACAGCTCTCTCCAGATTGCGATTTAAATTAGCTTCTAATCTAGTAACTGAATCTACAAGTTGTTGCGCAACACCTTTCATTGATTTCTTTGCATCAGCCAAAGTGCTAATCCCACTCTTCAACCGTGCAATTTCCTCCGCGATATCTTCTTTCTCGTGTAATTCCAGACCGTATCTGTAGCAAGCTTCGGCATAGAATTGAGCTGCCTTCACTTGCACGTGAGAGATCCAGGTTCGATCAAAATGCTGATTGAGAGGGGCTACGTTGAGTGCTGCGAAAGCTTCCTCATAGTACAAAGCAACCTGCATTCAGTCCCCACATGAGCCAAAACGTATTCCATGGCATAATTAATCACTGGAAAGGATATTTTGGATGCAAATTCATTGCTCAACGAAAAGACATTTTTTTATGATCAACTGGAAACAAATTTCATTAAAAATACAAGAATTATCAACTCAAACTTTGGTATATTAACACCAAATTAAGAATATAAGGGCAATTGTATTGCCTGACCTGCCTTGCAATCTTGGCGCAAAGGCCAGCTGATTTGCCTTCAGCTATGACCTTCTCGAAGACACACTCCTGCGCTTGGGCAAGCATCAGCCTCTCCAGCATCCCGGCACACTCAGCAGAGATGTCAAGTGTAGTCGATTGACCAATCGAAGCCTTCATCGATGCGTTATCTCTGAGAAAAGCAAACGCCCCAGCAGAGGCCATAAAGGAGTGAGAAGCCTGCATACGACCTGCGGCGGAGGATCGATCAGCCGAGAGAGCAATCTGACTATGGACAGCACCAAGATTGAAGAGAACCGCAGCTTTCTCCAAGTGAATGTTCTGCTGCGATGCCTTCTGTTTTTGTTTGTAGGCATCGTGCCAAATGAAGGTGATGGTGTTGATATGGTCCTTGTCGGGGGAGATTGGGAACCTAGATTCCATAACACAGAGGGCTTTGTAGTAGCTCTGGAGAAGGTCCCGGCGGGCATCGGGGGAGTCGGAGGGGCGTTCGAGGTTGACCCTCATTTGCTTTACGGCCTCAAGGTCGTCTTCCAGGTTCTGCGCTTCGCGTTCGGAGTAGGTGCGCGAGATGTACTGCCTGAGGGGCCGGTAGATCTCGACGGTAACAGTTTTCTTTTCGTAGATCGCTAGCATGACGTTCATGACCACCGACGACGTTGCCGGAGAAGCCATTATTGGCTTTGGAATCGACAGAGATATTCAGTTCGAATGAAGTTGACGAGGCAAGCCCGACCAATAAATGAGTGGTAACTGGTAAGGAGGACTGAGGATTTTGATGACGACTACGGCGAGGAGGAGATCCATCCACTGTGGAAAACGAGCTATTTTCTTCCTGTATTCTTTTAACACGGAAACGATCAAACGAGGGAACTTCGTGTATTGGTAGTTTCTCTTGCTTCTGTTTTACCAGTTGAAACCCCGTAAACGATATTGAGTGACGAACATGTCCTGAAACACGAATGGTGCAAGCGGATTCAATAACAACTACAGTAGGTGTTCGGAACCGATGTGCCGTTTCTAACAAAAAACGGCGCCATATCATCGCTACATCTGAAATCCGTTTTTTGAAAAAAGGTTGATGTTTGGTCATGTGTTTTTTCTGAAAAACGTTTTTTCATATCAAGCCTCGGAAATCAGGAAAGATTTGATGTGAGGAATTTAGGGGTTACATTTGGTTTATTCGGTTAAAAACTGAACCGAATAAATCAATTTTTTTTAAAACTGAAATAAAAAATAAAAACTGAACCAAAAATCGAATTATAGAAAAACTGAAATAACTGAAATTGAATTTTTTTGTTCGGTTTTTAGTTATTGAAAAACCGAAATTGAAATTTCCGGTTTGGTTTTTGGTTAAAACCGAATTTCAACACTATATATATATTTTAATATATATTATAGTGTATATTTTAATATATAATATATAAATGATATATTTTAATACATAATATAATACAATATAATATATTTTATACATATTATATATGTATTATATGTTAATATATATTATAGATAATAAAGTTTGGTTAATTCAGTTTTTTCGGTTAACTGGATTTCTAAACTTGAAAACCAAAATAACAAAAAACCAAAATAAACGAACAAAAAAATGAAACCAAAATTTTCAATTCGGTTTTTTCTATTTTAACCGGATGATGCTCACCCCTAGGCCTGATATTACATGTCTGAGCTGAACATTTAGGCTTACTGTATGAATTAAAAATTTTAATTCAACTTTATGTTCATAGTTAGAAAAAAAAACATATTTAAATGCCTTGTTCGCTTTTCAATAAGTTCCTTTCATCGGTAAATGCACTTACTCGGGTTGGGAAAGACTTACTTGGGTAAGTGCATTTTATTTACCATGTAAATAAGGCAATGACTATTATAGACATTCAAAAAATCATTATTAAAATGGGCATTTTTTGTCCCATTCAAGTGTTGGCAACCTCCCCCAGGTGCAAAAGTTATTTACCCATCTAGGAGAGAAACTTTTCATGGTCCTCACATAAAATATGAAAAATAAAAACATGGGTTTCTTGGTCAATGGGAGTCAAAATCACATTGACCAACTTTCCCCCCTTTCAAAATCCAAAAAAAAAGAACGCCCACAAAAAATTATTGTGTATATAATGGTATACAATACCATATATACATGACATAAATACTATATTTATTTAGATATACGTTTAATAATATATTATATAAAAGATATTTAATAAGATGTTTATTATATAAAATATATAATACTATATATACATACTACTGGAGTGGGCCACTTTGGCTTACTTATAGCTTGCTTGGCCTAGGTCTGACCTACATTGTTTGTATGCTTTATGTAAGTTTGGGTTGGGCTGGAGTTGATAGAAAAATAACTGTCTAGGCCCAAAAATTTGCAAACCCAACCAAGCACGCTGGATAGATTGGGATATTCTCCTCATAGAGCGCTCCTCACACCGACTTCATAGTCGATCCCATTGTATATTATTCACGGGAGATGTTCACAATGTGCAACTGCTACATACTATGAGGATCATATCTGGACTCATGTCGGATTTAATCATAAATGATCTCATCCCCAAATCTTACCATTAGCTGCACATTGTGAACATATCTATAGTTGGAGTCCGGATCTATTCTTCATAGAATACACCTTACAGAACATTTTTTAGGGTGTTTGGTTCCATTTATGTTTATTGAATAAACTTTTTGTACTTGTGTGGCTACAAAACCAAGAAAAGCTATTAATGAGGACACTTATGACACATGCACCATTAGGCACCACATTAGCAAAGTGCCAATAAACGCTTACCTATTTCAGGAAACTCCAAAATGAAGCTTCCTGAAATGAGAGAGGCGCACAAAAGTCAATGTTCAATATGTATGGATACAATTAATGAGGCTTTTCCTGATGTGATTGTTTACTCAATAAACTTAAACAGAACCAAACACATTGTTTATACTTGAAAATATTTATTCATAAAAAGACATTGGGATAATAGCATATAAGGGCAACTTTTGGGTTTTAATATCAATAAAAGTAATATTTAAAAAAAAATCAAAAAATATGTTAACTTTTTAAAAATAATATCAATAAAGGGCAAAAACATTGTTCATCATATTCTTCTTGCCATTTGTTCACCAACGCCTCCGTCTGCCACCGCCTCTGCCACTGGCAACGTTGCCGGAGGTGGCGGCGGCTGCGTTGGTGGTCATTTCTCTGCCTAATGTCGCCACCTCCGCCTTTGCCTCCGACAATGTTGCCGGATGTGGGTGGAGACAAAGGTGATGGTGGCAACACTGGGCAGAGGAATGACCACCAACGCCGCCACCGCCACCTCTGCCTCCGGCCACCTCCGGCAACGTTACCAAAGACGGAGGCGGCACTGGTGAACAAATGGCAAGAAGAATATGATGAACAGTGTTTTGCACTTTATTAATATTATTTTTGAAAAGTTAACATACTTTTGAATTTTCTTTAAAAATATTACTTTTATTAATATTCAATTCCCAAAAGTTGTCCTTATATGCTATTAACCCAAAGATGTTCCCGATGCACGACAATAGCACTACATAAAAAGCAAATCTGAACTTCTGTAGTTGTAAACAGATTGGGTTCGGTCTTCAGAAACTAGTGCTCATACTCATACTGTATTCACAATCACTTGCATATGTGTATTAGGAATATACTTGATGTAGCGCAATTCGGCTGCTTGGCTACCAACAACAATGGGCTCGATGGACTGCAAGAGATGAATCAGAGAACCCCGGGGTTGTTTACCCGGTGGAGTCGCTCTGATGCTTAAGTTAGCACTTAGTTGTGAGTTGATAATGATATTAGATTGTGAGAGAACTAGAGAGCAGAGATTACGCATACCTTCGCCCCTGGGGGTGAGGGCTTTATATACTAGAGTTCTCGTGGGTTTGGTGGAGTAGTTCCTGGATCCCCATTGTGATAGGATCCATTTCCGTGTTAGTTGGGGATAATGCCACCAACCGGTAAGATTGCCCATTTCCACCTGAATCGGGGAGTGGGTGAAATACTAGTCGTTACAAGGCATGATCCCGTAAGACGCGGGGTATGGTGGTGAGATCCTTGGAATTACCATGCGGCGGTTGGTGAGCATCACCTGAGCTCGTGTTCTTCAGACCCGACATGTTGTGAATGCCGAAATGCCTTGGGACCGAGGTGGTCCTGATGTGACCTTGAACCGAGGTATATTCGTCCCGAGGTAGACTTGTCCCGAGGTGGTCTTGTCCCAAGGTGGTCTGGTTATCCGAGCTCGATCCGTTGCGGACTTGGCGTGTCAGGCTGAGCTGTTATCCTACTAGTTAGGTCGCTAGTTTGGCATAAAGGCTGGTCGCCAGGTTGGCGCCTGTGCTAGGTCGCCAATTCGGGACACCATCATCTTGGCTAAGTTATTGCCTAAGTGGTTCCAAGTGTCACCCAATTATTCCGATGTGCCATGTGTGATATTGGAGGGCTAAATCCGTACTCATCAATACTCCTATGAATAAAAACACACAAATATAAAGATATTCCCAATGGACACTTGTATGTTGTTGTGAGGACGGTGTGAACTTTTGTGAAGAGTGAATCCGAGTTCAGTTGTAAAATTTACATGTTGTCATTGACGGACGGGGAGATGTTCCTATTCACGGTTGCAACCTGCTCCGTGAGAAGCAGATCCGGATTCGTTAATATATGGGTTTAAGTCGAACTTAATACCGTTAACAGCCAAAGCCCAATAAAAGTCGGGAGTCGGGTCACGTGAATACCAAGCAGAATCCATTGACACGTAAGATTCGACCCACAAATAAGGTCCGAGGCCCATAATCAATGTGGACTGAGAGTGCGGATCTAAGGAAACCTGGACGCCAAACTTTCGGCAAATCTAGCTCATAAATAGGATTGACGTCCGCCATTCCACTGATCTCATTATCTCTCGGCTCTTTTAACAAGAAGGAGAGACGTCTTCTTTCCCTCTCCTCAATCCTCTGCGCTGTAGAAACGA